GAAGAATACTGCATAGGAACCTGGAATGTAAGATCTATGAACGTTGGGAAGCTGGATGTGGTCAGACAGGAGATGGCAAGAATAAACATTGACATCCTGGGCAACAGTGAACTAAAATGGATGGGAATGGGTGGTTATCATATCTACTATTGTGGGCAAGAATCCCATAGAAGAAATGGAGTAGCCCTCATAGTCAACGAAAGAGTAGGAAAAGCTGTACTGAGATACAATCTCAAAAATGATAGAATGATTTTGATTCAAATCCAAGGCATACCTTTCAACATCACAATAATCCAAGTTTATGGACCAAACACTGATGCTGAGGAGGCTGAAATTGACCAATTCTATGAAGACTTATAACACCTTCTAGAACTGACACTAAAGAAAGATGTTCTTCTCATTATAGGGGATTGGAATGCTAAAGTAGGGAATCAAGAGATAAAAGGAACAACAGGTAAGTTTGGCTTTGAAGTTCAAAACGAAGCAGGGCAAATAAAAAAAAAGCTAATAGAGTTTTGTCAAGAGAACAAGCAGGCCATCACAAATATTCTTTTCCAACACACAAAAGGTGACGCCACACATGAACATCACCAGATAGGCAATACCAAAATCAGATTGATTATATTCTCTGCAGCCAAAGATGGAGAAGTTCTATACAGTCAGCAAAAACAAGACCTGGAGCTGACTGTGGCTCTGATCATTGGCTTCTTATAGCAATATTCAATCTTAAACTGAAGAAAGTAGGAAAAACCACTGGGCTACTCAGGTATAATCTAAACCAAATCCCTTATGAATACACAGTGGAAGTGAAGAACAGATTCTTCACTTGTGGACCACAACAAACTAGATTTGGTGGACAGAGTGCCTGAAGAACTATGGATGGAGGCTCATAACATTGTAAAGGAGGCACCAACAAAAATCATCCCAAAGAAAAGGAAATGCAAGAAAGCAAAGTGGCTGTCCAACGAGACCTTACAAATAGGAGAGAAGAGAAGGGAAATGAAATGCAAGGGAGATAGGGAAAGTTACAGAAAATGGAAAACAGACCTCCAAAGAATAGCAAGAAGAGACAAGAGGGCCTTCTTAAATGCAAAGAAATAGAGGAAAATAATAGAAAGGGAAAAACCAGAGATCTCTTCAAGAAATCTGGAGATTTTAAAGGAATATTTTGTGCAAAGATGGACATGATAAAGCTCAAAAATGTTAGGGACCTAACAGAAGCAGAAGACATCAAGAAGAGGTGGCAAGAATACACAGAAGAATTATACCAGAAAGATTTGTATATCCCGGACAACCCAGATAGTGTTGCTACTGACCTTTAGCCAGACATCCTGGAGAGTGAAGTCAAGTGGGCATTCCAGTTGAACTATTTAAAATCTTAAAAGATGACACTGTTAAGGTGCTACACTCAATATGCCAGGAAGTTTGGAAAACTCAGCAGTGGCCAGAGGATTGGAAAAGATCAGTCTACATCCCAATCCCAAAGAAGGGCAGTGCCAAAGAATGCTCCAACTACTGTACAATTGCATTCATTTCACACGCCAGCAAGGTTATGCTCAAAATCCTACAAACTCCCAGAAGTACAAGCTGGATTTTGAAGGGGCAGAGGAACTCGAGACCAAATTGCTAACATGCGCTGGATTATGGACAAAGCCAGAGAGTTCTAGACTTTGATTATGTGGACCACAACAAACTATGGCAAGTTCTTAAAGAAATGGGAGTACCTGACCACCTTATCTCTCTCCTGAGAAATCTATACGTGGGACAGGAAGCAACAGTTAGAACTGGATATGGAACAACTGATTGGTTCAAAATTAGGAAAGGAGTATGAAAAGGCTGTATATCGTCTCCCTGCTTATTTAACTTATATGCAGAATACATCATGCGAAAGGCAGGACTGGAGGAATCCCAAGCCGGAAGTAAGATTCCTGGAAGAAATATCAACTACCTCAGATATGCAGATGATACCACTCTGATGGCAGAAAGTGAGGAGGAATTAAAGAACCTCTTAATGAGGGTGGAAGAGGAGAGCACAAAAATGGTCTGAAGCTAAAAAAACACACAAAAACTAAGATCATAGCCACTGGTCCCATCACCTCCTGGCAAATAAAGGGGAAGTGTCTGAGGGAGAATACCATGTCAGTGGTGGATCTATTAGCTTGAACTCCACACTGTGATTCTGGATAGACTCTGTCTGCAAGCACCTGGAGCCTCTTCAGCACAACACGGGCAAGCAGCTTCCCTATAACGCTGAGGAGAGAGATGCCATGGTAGTTATTGCAGTCACCCCTGTCTCTTTTGTTCTTGTACAATGTGACGATGTTTGCATCCTTCATGAAAAGTTGACAAAATAACATGGGCCAAACGAGGGGGCATATGTATATTACTCATTATAATACATTTTGGTAGTAGGAAGAATTACTTATTTGTACTACATCTCCTAACCCCCCCAGCAATTATGGCTGCTAGGTTATGGTGGCTGGAGGATTATTGAAGTTGTAGTCCAAAAAGTAACTATTCCAAAGTTTAAATAATATACAAATACTACATGCCAAGTTCTTGTGCTGCTGGTGAAATCTCATCCTGTATGGTCATCAGATATACAAACCTCTGTGGTAGTTCATGGGAAACAACATTGCCTAACAACTATGGTTTTCAGATGTTCTGATATTTTGAGCAACAAAACAACCATTTAGGATGGAAACATTTCAATCAGTGCATTTATGACTAAAAGTAATTTTAACGAATGTGCTGATAAGCATGATTAACTCATTTACTTTAGTGGGTTGAAACATGTTGTTGGATTGTGGCTGCTGTTTGAAAAAACCCTCCTTTTTAAGGCTGCATCTTGAGAACCAGTTGAATTGCTTCTAGGTAACAACTTCTGTCATCCATAATGACTTCAACACATCTGGATGTAGGCTACCAACGCCCAGATCTGAACTATGGCCAGAAAAACTGAGAACCTGCAAGACTGTGATGAGATATAAAGGAGAGATAGGACATAATACCCCCAGGGCTGTTTTGCATATGTGAACACCCCATTTATTTTTTTCAGTGTGCAACCTAGGTTCATTGCAATGACTCCAAAAAGTGCTGACACCTTCTTGGATATGGCGATTGTGGAGTGCTCATACAAACAGCCTGGTGCATGGTGTAATTGCCTAGCAAAGTTCATGTAAGGAGAGTTAGCACAGGTTAACTGGTTAATTTCCATACACAATTGCAGAAGAGCAGCACCTCCATGTTGTTGCTCTTCTGCAATTGAGGTATTGCAGAACATTTATGTGCATCAGTTTGATGTGTGGCAGTGAGCCAATGAATGATATCATCAAAAGTTGTGTTTTTTAAAAGAAAAGCTGAGAACTGTGGCAAGGCAACATTTGTCACTAAATATATTCAATAAGCCGCAGAGGAAATTCAAACAGGAGCTATATGCCTGTCCCAACTATTCTAAAGGACTCCAACTGTGACCAAAATACTGTGCCGCCTGTAATTTTCCTGTCATTTTTCTTACCTCAAGTGAAGAGGCAATGAGAAGTCACTCCACATTGTACTGTTGCAGAAAACCTTGCTTGGAATTATTCTTGTGCCATATTCCATCAGCCCCTTGGTGCGCAATTGTGAGGTGAGAGAACTAATGATGTGACTCTGTGAGTGTTGTATCAGTTTTCTGGCTTTCTGCATCTACCTGGATTGTTCACATTGCCAGTTCAAGTTGCCATGTGTACCTCATCTCCCAGCTGAATTTATTGTGATATACAGTATTATGACAAACCACTATGCTGTTTAACAATTTTGATGGAGTCTCAGATGGCAGCACAGACTAAGAAATGGTCTTTCCAGAATTTTGAAAAAAAAAAAGTAGAAGAAAGGTCTAGATTAGACAAATAGGCGAATTTACCTTATTGGTTAATATTGGGTGCATCATAGGAATTATATGCAAAACCCCAAAAAATCCAAATAAGTAATACTCAATTTGGAGAAGAAACCAAATTAAATACCTAAGAAAAGTTCTGGCCAAACGTGAGATTGCAAAATTTAACAAACTGCTGGATAGCTCAGTGGTTTAGATATTGGCTTTGGAGCCAGAGGTTGGGAGGTCAACTCCTCATTGTGCTTCTTGGACAGGGGCTGGACCTGATGATCCATAGGGTCCCTTCCATCTCTGCAATACTCAGATGATCATGATAATGGCTGTTCTGCTGTTACAGGCAGCGCGGATGAGCGGAGCCTCTTTGCCCCCCCCCCCAGGATTGGGCAAGACGCAACAGCAGGTTGTGTCACCCAGTAGGGCTGGGCATTTGTAGCACAGTATTCAGCCATGCTCCCCCTCCGTTACAGCCTCTTTACGAAGCTTTCTTCCCAACCATCCTTTAACCAGTGTGAGTCTGACTGGTCACCCATTTGGGAGCTGGACAGGAATTTTTCCCCTGCTACCTAAATTGGCCGGAAGTTGCAGGATTTTTTTTTTTTTGTTTGCCTATCCCACACTGGTGTAGGTTTTGTTGTGTTATAGTTGTTCGTTTATTATAAGTCACACTGGTGGGTAGTTTGGAAAGAACAAGTTCATGGAAGCCTGTGAGGTCAGATGGCTCTGTCGATTGTGAGGTTACAGTGCTGGGGGGAAGGATGTGCTGGGTCTTGGGTTGCCAGTGGGAGGGGACTTATAGGCCCAGGGGGTGGTCCCATCAGGTGCCGGTCAGAGGGACCGCACAACAATGGGGCATGGGACTTGCCCGTATATGGTTAGGGGGAGGGTCCTGTGAGACCTTCAGCCTCAAACCTTATCCCACACTACCGCAGGCCCAGTTTAACCCATCACCAGTGTCTTGCCTCTTTATTCTGGGGTGGGGTGGGACAATGATAAATAACCTTTCCCCTATTTCATCTGACTTTTCCAGTACTTCATCTGACTATTTGAAAAAGAAATGGGAAGGAAAAGTGGAAGAAGAAATGTTGGTGTTTTGAAAAGGTTTCTAAAAGTTGCAGCTGAAACCTTCTATAGAATACTCTTGCAGTTTAGAAACAAAAAGGCCTAAGTGAAAGAGGACAGAACATGGGCTGGAAAAATAAAAGAGGTTTATTATTTGTGAAATATGTGCATGCTGTTTCTCCCTGCCTGCCTGTTTTAAAGGCTGTACTTATTAAGGGCAGGAATGTAGAGTTTATTGTCAGTGTGAGAGTTATGTGCATGGTAATAGATCTCTCGAGGCTGTTTTATTTTAAGCATATGAAATGCAGGGAAAGCAAGATTTATAAATTCTTATCATGGAATGTAGGGGACATTAATAAACCATTCAAGGAAAATTGATTGCGTTCTGCAGTGTACAAATCTCAATGTTTTTCTTGATGGGACTGGACTAGCAGTGATGGACCAGCTCGGAAGTCTCTTTTGTCATCCGTTTGCATCATTTTCCGGAAACTTAGTTCAGACAAACATTTCCATCTCTGTGTTCAAACCACCATCTAAAAAGGCATCAGATAAGAGAATGGTATGCTGCCTGATACTGATGTCCGCAGTTTATTTGTCCAAAACACTATTTCGCAATGTTTACCAATGACTGCTGTCAGGATTTTTCCATGACTTTTTTTTCCTGGATGGGGTTTCTTTTTCAGTTCTATATTTTCATTGCCAGGAATTTTAAGCATGTGGTCGGATCCAGTTTGAGGAGTGCGTTTGAAAGTCTGACAAAGCAGCTAGCCTTTTAAAGCACTGTTTAGCCAGGTCAGAGCTGTTTGCGCACATATGGAGAAGATATCACCTTGTGAAGTTTTGCAAATGCTTTACTCATTTGACCCTTCACGCAACACCTCATCAAAAAAAGCCCCGAAATAAAAATTTTAATGCTCTTATTTAAAAGCCCATTAATAGAACCTACTAAACAAACCTTGCAAGGACACACATAATTTGCATTCTGTTAATCTATCAAAGTCTTTGCTAACTTGGTACTCTCCACAGTTTCTTGGACTGTTCAACCAAAGTTGGTCCAGTCTTTGGGCATGCGGGTCAGAGATGATGGAAATGGCAGTCGCACACATTTGGAGAATGTCACCTTGGGAAAGGCTGGTCTAGTTGACAATGAGTTGCTTCTGTCCCGTACAGGATGTGTTTCCCATGGCATCTGGAAATCAAAGGAAAAATATTTCAAAGTGTAGGTTACAAAATATCCCCACCCATTCTCAGTGGTGCCAATGGTAGAGGAAATGCTGCTGTCTTCTACTGTCCACCCTTTTGTTCTTGCTTGGAAGTTGAACTAGAATCTTAAGAGTTTTATTCATTTTACTGATAGGATTCCAGGGACAATGTTTCATTCCACTGTTGACCAAGGGCTCTGCAGAGCTTAACAGTAATAAAATAGGTAAAATGGTTTGGCTCACAATTGCTCCTGTCTCCTTTTTTAAAAAACAAATTTCTATTTGCAAACTTTTATACTTCTGGAGAGTTGGCCCAGAGTGAAGGTACTTCATTATTTTGCAATACTTGGAGATTTCATTACATAGGTAGGTAGGTATCATATATGAGTTGCATTTTCAACAGTGCTCATTTCAGCAAGCCACAAATGCTTGAGAAACCCCTGTAGCTGTTAACTTTTAAAGGGCAGAGTACAGACTATTTCTGTCACTTAATAACTGTATATCCAGAGCTTGCAGTATTACTTCCTAAAACTAATTTGCTACTCATCACCTTTTCTTTTTTTAAAAAAGTAACATATTGATGTTACAAATAACTTATTAACATTCCTGATTGCTGGTGGATTGCTTTAAACATATTTTTCATTTAAAAAAAATTAAAGTGGCGTAATTTCAGGAGTAATAAGGAAATATAACTTGTTGCTGCTGTTACGCGCTTTCAGGTCAGGTACTATAGTGATCCTAATAGGGCTTTCAAGGTAAGTCAGTTGCCAGCTTATTGTTCAGAAGGTCATGGGCTACCTAAGCTTATATACACATACAATTCTTCGGAAAGAAAAAAGGCCACAACTTCATTGGTTACAGCAGCAGTCCCTGTTCAGTACTGAGGAACTGGATCCTGTGTATCAGGCTCCCTGAGTGCGCACCACCATACATCTCAGCAGCTGCTGAGGATTCCTCCAAGACTAGGAGTATGTGTATATGCCACTCCATGATTCTCTGCCACCTGAGGGCAGGGCAGGGCTCTCAGGCCCTGAGCTAAGCCAGACCATGCCCCTGGCCCATCAGCTCCCTGTACTATTCCTTTACCATGCTGGGCAAGCAGGCTTCTATCTGCTACTCTCATACCATCTGGATCCAACTCTAATGCCCCAGACCACCAACTAAGTTGTGGCAAAGGTAATACAAGAAACACGAATGCATAGTACCCTGAACGCCCCTCGCTAACGCCTGCTACTCATTCCATAACATTCATTGTCCCATCACCAAACGGTAGGGGTGGGAAGTGGGGTGGAGAAAGCTGGCAAGCCGCAAACTGGCTGTAGCAGTCTCTTTGCTCTAGCTGAAGTTCCAGGACAGGCAGACTGGACTGAAAACTCTTGTTGCACTTTGGGAGTGAGGCAATTTATTGTTTTGTGGACTTTAGTACATAAAGCTTATAGTACAATAAATTTGCTAGTCCTAAAGGTGTCACAGGACTGTTTTTTATTTATGCTGAAAAAGCCTAAAATGGCTTTCCCTCAGGAAGTTGTCCCAGGAAAGTGACTCATATGTTTGTCCTTCAGTTGGCTTTTTGGCATATTCAGGATATAAACTCATGGCAGCTGAAATAACACCGGCTCTGAATTATAAGGTGCCGAAGTGTAAATGATCCCCCACCTCCAATATCTCCTAAATATAGAAGTGGTCCATAATCTGATTAGGGAGAGGAAGAGTGCTTCACACTTTGGGGTGAAGTACTCTCCTTCATAAACCACCATCCAAACCTCTTAAATACAGGATATTTATGGTAGTGAACAGCATAAGCAAATAAGGCAATTGTGAGTAATTCCCTGGTCTGAACACCAAAGAAATCTCAGACTTAAGAGAATTTTTCCAGTTCCAAATCTATTCTGTGAATTCTCTGAGAACTTGTGTGACTGCTAAGTGATTTGCATTTTTTGAAAACTCTTCTTAATCTAAGGTCATGGCTTCCAAATATATGAGGCATCCTTTCCTTTGGGAGCTGACATAGCAGCAAAGGAAGGCATAGCTTACCTGAAGCTCACAGAGACCAGTATTTTGTACAGCTGGCTCATAAGGATGAACACTGCTGACTCACTCATATCCACCAAATACTGTATATGTCAGGCATCTGTCTTTATGAGGAATCACTTCTGAAGACTGCACTGAATGTTTACTTGTCTTGATTTTTGCATTAAAACTAGTAAATTTTCTCTTCCCTTGATTTTCTTTCTTTCACTCAAAAAGACTTTTCTGAGAAGAATATATCCTTTAAAAAATCCTGTCTTACCTGATCATTTTGCTTGTTGCTGGTTTTGCATCACTTTCCTCTTCTAGCTATTGCATGATATACTTCCTGGATTAATCAAACGGGCAGATCCAGTCAAATAGGGAACATACTGGAAACTGGTGTGTTGCCATGATATGTAGTTAATCATATTGACTACCTGTTAACTGTTGCCTACCTGTTACCTGGACCCATGACTAGCCACTGTAAATTCAGAATGGCAGCAGTGCTTTCTAAAGAGCTAAATCAGATCATGGTGATGGTACTGATTAAGCATTTCAATGTGGGCAAACATGTATACGAAAGCAGAGTGGCTAATTTGTGCTCAGCTTGGCTTTCACCCTGCTCTCAGTCTGTACCAGTTCTCTTTCCCTCCATGTATACTAAACATTCTCTGAGAAATTTACAAGCAAAATAATTTAAACTAAAATATAGAAATGCTATGTGAAGACATAATAGAAAACAGAATGAAACCAAGAACAGATTAAAAGCAGGGTAGAGCCAGAGTAGAAAACAGCATCATAAAATAATATCAGTATAATAGATATAAAAGGCACTAGAACGGTGGTATCTAATCTTGGGTCCCCAGATGTTATTTGACTAAAATTCCCAGAAGCCTTCAGCATGAGGTGGGCTGGCTAGGATTTCTGGGACTTGCAGTCTGAGAACATATGAGACCCAAGGTTGGGAACCACTGCATTAGCAAATTTGTGAGACTGAGAAGCTCAGATAATACAGTGGCTATCACCAGGTGGCCCAAATATCATAATAAAGGTGCTTGGAAGATTTGCAGATTAAGACCACGTTAAGACCACATTTCCCTTCCAATGACCAGTTACAAAATAAAGCACACTAAATCCAAGGTACATAAGTGATGAAAAACATGTGCTACAACATATACTCTACTGCTTGCAGATGCATCCCTGAAAAAATAACAAAACATATGATCTTGTTTGATCCAGAGATGGCAAAACACTGTAATAAACCAATCATGCTTGTTGGTCCCTGTTAATAATTTTCTTATGTTATTTCTGTGAACACCTCCTGTAGCAAGGGCAGAAGCTGGTATTTGCCAGGCGTTGGTAAAAGGTTATGATGAATTTATCGACTGAAAACACAGTAACTACATTTAAGATAAATACTGACGTGAATCAGGAATAATCAATGCACTATGTATTATATAACTGTTTTCTCAACAGAACTAAAGTAATGAGTACAGCAAGTTAAAAATCCTTCATTTCATGGACTTTATGCTTGTTTGTGTTATGGAAAATACAGTCTAGGTTATTCATTTTTTTTTTAAAAAATGCAAGGACTAGTGATTACACAATGAAGAGGAGTACATGACAATCCAATTAGATTACACATCTGACAAAGTGTAGTTAGGATACATGGGCTGAATCAGGGAATACCCACCGTCTGGACTGTAGCAATACAATGGTGCCTTGCAAGATGAATGCCTCGCGGGATGAAAAACTCGCAAGACAAATGGGTTTTGCGATCACAAGATGTCTTCTTCTATGGCCATGCTTCGCAAGATGTTTTTTTTTTTTGCAAGACCGATGCCTCGCAAGACGAATGAATTATTTTCGTCTTGCGAGGTTCCAATAGAAATGAATTACATTCATCTTGTGAGGCACCACTGTATATGGAAGTGGATGATTTACAATTATACCTTGAGTAATGCAAGGAAGAAGAAATAGTCTAGCATTATTTATTTTTATGCAAATAAAGTGTGGTCCTGGAATTCTGAAGGCATGCCCTTTCTTAATTTTTTGCCTAATCTCCTAAAATCAGTTTAGAAAACCAGTGTCTAAGAATATGTGTTGTCAGGAAACAATGGAATAAAAAAAGGCAACAGCATACAAATGCCTTAGGGATGAAGAGAGGATTAGGCCTGGACTATAGTTTGTCATAGAAACTGTTCAGGGAAGCCTATCTTGATCAATGGCACATTTATCATACAGTTCTCAGCACATTTATTGGAAGCACATTTCATTGAAATTGTGGGGAAGCTGCTTCTAAGCCAACATGTTTCAGCTCAGGGCATGACCAGAATTGTTGCCAATTAAATTAACCAGCATTTATTAATTCCAAAGGAGTCTAGGATTTGTGGACTTATGGCAGATCACCATCTGACATAGGATAAAGGAAAGGTCATGTTTATTCACATGCTTGAGAACACAACAAGCTCCTTTCTGATTTAAAAATGAAAAAGAAATGGTGCATTAATTAGTTACACAGCTTGAAAAAAAACCATGGAGAAAGCTATTGTCTTGTACAAACTGTGTCTGTCTTGAACACCCAACGTGTTCAGGCAGTATGTGCACAAGGGTTCCTAATTGGATTTGCCAACTGTCAACTTGGGTATCATGCATCTCCCTTGAAATGCTTCAAAGAAGCAAGCGTGTGTGCAGCTGTAGCGCCTTCCATACCCATTGTTCCACCCCTGCCTGTCACAGATGTTCCTCTCCTCCATTGGGAAGTAAGATTTCCTGCAGCTGGTGGGAGAGTGGGATGTCAGAGTGCTGTTGGAAGAGTGCTATGAAACATATAGCCATAGAATTAGCATCATTAGTCAGCATTGTCAGGCACTTGCCAGGCCCCACTTCTAGGGCTTGTCAGGAAACAATGGAATACCAACCTTGGGCCTCCAGATGTTCTTGGATTACAACTCCCAGAAGCCTTCACCCCCACCTCTGCTGGCCAGGACTTCTGGGAGCTGAAGTTCCAGAACCTCTGGAGGCCCAAGGTTGGGGACCACTGACATAGAAGATATTGCAAAATCGTGTTACATAACTTTGTGCCCAGAGCAACTTGGATCAGGCAAAGGAAAACATTTAACATGCATTAATTAAAAGCTTCCAATCTGCCCATTCTAGGTTCTGAGGGCCTCCCAGGTTCTGTCTGGCCTAGGGAATCCTTGGGAGCCTTTGGATGGGGTGGGCAAGAGCCTTTAAAAGTTTTAAAAAATCAGTACAGAATTGCTGCCACTGTGATCAGGACTGTCACTATTGATCTGGTGGTGATCTTTGACTTTTAAAAGCTCTCCCTCAATAATCCCAAGGTTCCCCAAAACGTCTCCAGGGCAAAAGGGAGGCCAAGGGAGACCTAAACAAAGATGGGGGTAGGAAGTTTGCAGTTAATAAAAGAGGTTGACTACATGGGTGTTTAGACCACTGTTTGATCTACTGCAGAGATGGACTGTTTTGCTCCTAAAGATGGTGATCAGACGAAGTCTTTGCTGGAGTGAACCAACCCCCAGAGTGGTGCTACCCACACCCTTCTGATCCCTGTCAGGGGCTTCTATGTTTTTTGGTGTAGGTAGGCTCATTCTGTTTTGTTCCATTTCTAGCACATGTAATTGCTGGAAACAAACCAAAGCGTGCCTTCCTCTTTAAATTTGCCAGTATTGTGAAAAGAGCCACTTCTCAATATAGGTAAATTAAATACTTCCTCAACTCCATGGAAGGACTGAGAAAGTGAAGCAAAACTTTTTTAAAAGGGTGTACTAGGTCAGTGAATACATGCTGCATCACTTTAAAAACAGCATTCAATATGTGTATTACAAATAAAGTTTGTGAATCAGGTAGGTATACATAATACACATGTCTAACTTATAATGCATATACCTAATACCATGGAGCTGAAGAAGTGTTTAGTTTGCTCATATCAGGAAGTGGCTCTCTTCTTAAGCACTGTGCAAGAGTAGCATGCTGTTTTTTTTGCTTCAGAACTTTTGGAGATCTGAGAATTCACTGCTACAGATCTTTGTGTCTCCCTCCCTGAGAACTAGATTTTCTTGGAAAGAACAAATGAGTGTTAAATTGATTCAAGGAAGCAATCAGGAATGGTGCCTAGAGAATAAGCTTTCTTGAACTTAGTAGGATTTTCTTCCAAGGGAAATCAGAATGAGTTGACCAGCCACAGGGCTAGTTCAGAGCTGTGGGTAAAACATCTGACGTGTTGAGCTGTTTCAGCAGCCATGGAAATACAGATGTGGCTATTATGGCATGTCACAGACTGAGTTGTTGATTTCAACCATTAAGGCATTAATCAAATATGGAGCTATTTGGTAAGCTCACCTCTAAATCAGGTTGGTACATGCTAGAAAAGTTGCATCAACAAATATATGGACCCCAACCATTTAGAGTCTTGTATCACCTTCAGAAACTTGCATTAGCCTGGGAAAAAAAATAAGCAGTGAGTGAAGATCACAGATAATACTATTTATATGACACCAGCTCTGTGAGCTGCTGAGCATCAGAGTTTGGACTTTCTGTACCAACTAAAGCCTTTGAATTATTTTCAAAAGCAGTCCCATGTAGAGTGCATTGAAGCTATCCAGGCATAAGGTGCCATCATTCAGGATAAACTGCAGTTGGCAAACTATCTGAAAATGAATGTTGGTACTCAATAACAAGTGAATCCAACATATATCTATGTATAATTGGCAATCTCTGTCTTCATCTCTAAATGCAGGAAGGGAATCAAAGGACATCATGATCAATGACTATGGTAAAGCTTTTTATAACATAGTTATGAAATGCAATCTCTACATCCTTAACGGAAATCACCCTAATGATAAACCGGGTAATATAATTTTCTTTGCTGGTTGGGGAGGAAGTGTCATTGATTACATAGTGATCTCCTCTGACTCGATCCCTTATATAAATGATTTTTAAGTAATCTGTCAACCAGGAAGTGACAATTTTCCTATCTATCTATCTATCTATCTATCTATCTATCTATCTATCTATCTATCTATCTATCTATCTATCTATCTATCTATCTATCTATCTATCTATCTATCTGTCTATCGATCGATCGATCGATCGATCGATCGATCGATCGATCGATCTCTATTGGTGGCTTATATGGTGTACCCACCACAGGAAGAAAATACTAAGAATATCATTAGCTTTAATCTTCTCAAAAAAATTAGATGGTCAGCTCAAACAGAACACCAACTGCTGGGAATATTTTATGATAAAAAAGATTTTCAGCTACGTAGCAAAATTACTTATTACTTACTCTGAAGCAGGTTTTGAGAAGACACAGAATTGTGAGCAAGAATGAGAATATTTGTTCTTGGTGCTATCAAAGGAAGTAATTCCACCAATGGAATGACACTGCTGGATCCTGCTCATAGGAAGTAAAACGATTTGACATGCTGTAAAAAGTTTGGAATGATAGGAAAGAAAAATCAGATTTGATCCAGAGCAAGAATTAGAAACCTCCATTGAAATCTGATTCTGTTGCACATTATCTATATCTAGATTTGTACAATATAAACATAAAATACAACTATTGAGAGCAGCCAATAGTTCTTTGTACTTAATTGAGAATAAAACATTGTTTTTATGAAAGCTTTTGTCAATGAATGCATTGTGTTAGCTGCAAAGCGAAGAATAATATGAAAATCCAAGTCCATTAGATCCATTTAATTCAATGGACTGATGTTGCTCATGTGTCAGATCATTAATTTTCATTCTTTTGTAAGGGGAGAGTCACTGGAAGGTTTTGTTTCATCTTTTTATTTTAAAAGCCTGTTGTGTTGTAATATGAGTATTAGTTGAATGATATGCCAAGATTGGACACTTACTCTGATGTACAAGTGATGTGGTTTTGTTCTAAGGATCCATATGCTTTCCATAGCTCAGTGTTTGAAGTAAAATCTTAAGGAAAAACACACCTCCGTTACTAAATGTAATTATTTCTTCAGAACTGGCACAGGGCATTTGTTAAGCAAGAAACAACTGTTCTCATAGCTATTCTACAATGATGGGATAGGGAACTATATAAAATGAACAGTGTAGAAACAACACTCCCCGTCAGTATTGTGGAATAACTTGTGATAATAAGGTTTCTGAATTGGGATACATTCATTATAACTTAGATACCGGCAAGCTAGCCTTTGTTGCTAAGAAATATGCACAAACAGGTTGTGCAACAAACAACCATGAAAGGACTATCCAAACTTTGAAACCCAAACCAATAATCAGAAAGCTCTGTCTCCTCATATTATCGAAAATTATAGAAGGGGTTTCTTGGAGGCTGCTCCAGGTTTTGTCAGTCCCTGCTTCAGTAAGAGCAGGCTGGTTGCCTGCCTGTTCTCTTCTTGACAGCCAACAAAGAAGGGGTGATTACACTGGCAAACATGAAAATGCTTCTGGATTAGAAAAGAAAGGATCTGCATTATTTTCTATTGACTACATGTAATACAAGTCCTTCATGGATTGCTGCCTTGTCGTGGCGAAGGGGCTTGAATAATTCAGAGAAACTATGGGCTATGCCGTTCAGGGACACCCAAGACGGACAACTCAACAGTGGCCAGAGGACTGGAAAAAATCAGTCTACATCCCAATCCCAAAGAAGGGCAGTGCCAAAGATTGCTCCAACTGCCGTACAATTGCACTCATTTCACACACTAGCAAGGTTATGCTCAAAATCCTACAAGGTAGGCTACAGCAGTATGTGGACCAAGAACTCCCAGAAGTGCAAGCCGGATTTCGAAGGGGCAGAGGAACTCGAGACCAAATTGCTAACATGCGCTGGATCATGGAGAAAGCAAAAGAGTTCCAGAAAAACATCCACTTCTGCTTCATTGACTATGCAAAAGCATTTGTCTGTGTGGACCACAGCAAACTATGGCAAGTCCTTAAAGAAATGGGAGTACCTGACCACCTTGTCTATCTCCTGAGAAACCTATGTGTGGAACAGGAAGCAACAGTTAGAACTGGATAGGGAAACACTGATTGGTTCAAAATTGGGAAAGGAGTACGACAAGGCTGTATATTGTCCCCCTGCTTATTTAA